TAAGTTTGTAACTTTTATGGCGATTATTTTGAATTCAATATGGCCGCTGTAATTATAATTGGAACTTATGTGTCTTGGTTTAATATGAAAGAGCTTATTTACCTGCGCCAGTCTGCAAATTTTCACGTCTCTATATCTTACGTTTATATAAGTTTGTAACTTTTATGGCGATTATTTTGAATTCAATATGGCCGCTGTAATTATAATTGGAACTTGGTGTGTCTTGTTTTAATATGAAAGAGCTTATTAACCTGCGCCAGTCTGCAAATTTTCACGTCTCTATATCTTCCGTGAACGGAAAAATTGCTAAGTTTGTAATTTTTATGGTGGCCATTTTGAATCAAAGATGGTGGCCGAAAATGGATCACATGCATCACGTTGTTGTATGAAATAGTAACCTAAATTACGTCTGTCAGTTAATTTTCAAGTATGTGCGAAGATTATTAACCGAGATATAGCAATTTTTTAAGAAATGACGGCGGCGATTTTTGAATTCAATATGGCCGCTGTAATTATAATTGGAACTTGTGTGTCTTGTTTTAATATGAAAGAGCTTATTAACCTGCGCCAGTCTGCAAATTTTCACGTCTCTATATCTTCCGTGAACGGAAAAATTGCTAAGTTTGTAATTTTTATGGTGGCCATTTTGAATCAAAGATGGTGGCCGAAAACGGATCGCATGCATCACGTTGTTGTATGAAATAGTAACCCAAATTACGACTGTCAGTCAATTTTCAAGTCTGTACGAAGATTATTAACCGAGATATAGCAATTTTTTAAGAAATGACGGCGGCCATTTTTGAATTCAAGATGGCGGCCGAAGTTGTAGTTGGATCGCGTGTGTCCTGTCTTTAAATGAAAGAGCATACAAAAGTATGCAAGTGTACCAATTTTCACACTTTTTTCACAATTTGAACGATTTTGATGGTATCCTGACCTAACCGACTGTACTAATAGGTGAAATCCTTCAGGGCATGACAAATATTGCAGCGGCCCTTGATCAGTCATTGAGCGGTTCGATCCAATAAGTGTAAGGATTGTGAGTGCAATCCTGGGAAAATGGGGGAGGTGTGACATGCCGAATTGTCACAGGGTTGTTGTGATTGTTTGGTGCTGCCCTCGAGTGGCGAAGGAGGGAAAAGCTAGACGAGGGTAGTCACGACCAGATGGCAGCACTAGGCCACCATGCTGGATCAGATAGAGAGCAGAAGGAAGCATTCTGCTGCTTAGAAATTTCTATCGGTCAACATCTACGAGGTTATCGTGTGCCCCAGGGCAGTTTGTTGCCCGCGAAGTTTGCGTGGTCATTCCTACGGTGGCATGATCTAGCTCGATCATGTACTTGGCTCCCTAGGGGTTTTTCTTTGTTCATAAATAAACCGTCTACCCCGCACTTGATTGTTGGAGTCTTTTTCCGGACTTCACAGTAATATAATGCCTTGAATGTGGTGGAAAACCCCTACGTTGGTACTGCTACTTTCTTTCCCAAACCCCACAATAATGTCCCTGGCAGTTGTCACTGCAATTTGTGTAGCATTTTACAACAGCTATAGGTTGTCCGAAGGGCGTAGATTTCAGTCTGTCTGGATTTTGATTGTGTATGTGAAAAACGATTAGGGACAAGGGTGATTGAATGTTTAAGTAACCTTTGGAAGCATATTTTTTGAGATATGGATAATAAATCATAGGGGTGACATGCTTGAGCTTTGAGGTTGAGTGTATTGTGACTAATGACCGTGTTCATGGAGTATTGCTCGTTAAGTATCTCGAGTTAATTAATCCAGATGGGTATTTCATGAAAATTGTATGTCCAAATGTAACAAAATGAGCAAATAGTTGTGCAGCCAATAGCAGCACATCTTTGCAGTCTGCTGTTAGCACGTTGTTGTCTGTTCAAGCAGACGGTTTTGTACACGCCATTGAAATGCAACAATAAATCTGTCTCTCGATTATTAACTCCCTCTCACTCCCTCTCTCTCTCTCTCTCTCTCTCTCTCTCTCTCTCTCTCTCTCTCTCT